ATATGTGTATCAATCTGGCTAGGCTGTGATTCCCAGTATTGTGTGATTGTCCACTATTTTGTCATCTTATGTGATTTTCTTATATGTTGTAAATCCTACCTCTATGATGCAATGAGGCAGGATTAGTGGCAGTTATGTTAATGAGGCAGGACTCAATCTACAAGATTAGGTTGTGTCTTAAGTCAACCTCTTTTGAGATATAAAAGATAGAAGCAAGCAGAGAGACATGGGGACCTCATACCACCAAGAAAAAAGAGCCAGGAGAATAGTGCATCCTTTGGACCCAGGGTCCCTGCGCTGAGAAGCTCCTAGACCAGGGTAAGATTGATGACAAGGACCTTCCCCTAGAGCTGACAGAGAGAGAAAGACTTCCCTGTAGCTAGTACCCTGAATTTGGACTTCTAGCCTCCTAGACTATGAGAGAATAAATTTATCTTTGTTAAAGCCATCTACCTGTGGTATTGCTGTTATAGCAGCCCTAGATAACTTAGACAAACCCCTATGAGAAGAAAGGGAGAGAGAGCAAGAGAGTGAAGAGCAAAAGAGCACAGAAGATTTTGGAGTGAGACAGACTTCTATTCAAATTCCAACTCCATTGCCTCAGTTTCTTCACATGTAAAATGAGGATACTAATTAGCCTCCTCAAAGGACTATTATGAGGATTAAATAAAGTAATACCTGTGAAGCTCTTGGCATGGGACATGCCATACGCTAAGGCACATGTTAAAAGTGAGCTGGTATCATCCTCGTCAGCAGCAGCAGCAGCATTATCATCAACATCAACGTCAAGAACGTTTCTTTCCCCAGAATTCTTGTCAGTTGAGGGCATACCTTGTTTAGAAGTTATGTCATAATAGGCTTCAAAGAATTGTTCAGAAATAAAAGGTAATTGCTAAATTTCTTTGTATATTAAACAAAAATAAAAACAGTTGATGTGGAGTCAAAAGTGTGTCAGAGTAGAGCTGTGCTCCATAGGTTTCCAATGGCTGATTTTTCAGAAGTAGGTCACTAGGCTTTTCTTCCAAGGTGTCTCTGGGCGGACTCAAACCACCAACCTTTCAGTTAGTAGCCAAGTGCATTAACTGTTTGCACCATGAGGGACCTGCATATTAAAGGGGTGAAGAATTAGAAAATCTGGGGAGAAAATCCTAGATGGAGCAGAAGATTTAACTTGAGGGAAACACAAAGAAGAGTCTAGAAAAAAGAAATGTTGGATAGGATATTTTTCAGTGAAATTCTGAGCACTACCAGGAATTCTATAGCTTTTCAGGGAAGACTATGCAACTCATGAATGCTTCGTGTTATTGAATCTCTTGTGGAATCCAGTGAGGGGGCTGAGATCTGTGTTCTAGGGGATGTTAAGCCAAAATAGAGTTAAGTTTGTGTAGACTACGGGGACAGCTAACAGCTGCACTGCATTCTTATTGTAGAGGTGGTGGCCTGGTATAGACGTCAATCTTCAAGAGGAGGCCTGCTGAAGGGGCAGTGTTTTAGGCACCAACAGAATGCAGAAATTATCAAACAATATCATTAATATCACATGCAAAAAAAATTTGCTGAAGATAATTCAAAAATGGTTGCAGCAGTACATCAACAAGGAACTGCCAGAAATTCAAGCCAGATTCGGAAGAGGATGTGGAACCAGGGATATCATTGCTGATGTCAGATGGTTCTTGGCTGAAAGCAGAGAATACCAGAAAGATGTTTACCTGTGTTTTATTAACTATGCAAAGGCATTCAACTGTGTGGATCATAACAAATCATGGATAACATTTCAAAGAATAGGAATTCCGGAACACTTAATTGTGCTCATGAGGAACCTGTACATAGATAAAGAGGGAGTCGTTCAAACAGAACAAGGGGATACTGCGTGGTTTAAAATCAGGAAAAGTGTGCATCAGGGTTGTATCCTTTCACCTTACTTATTCAATCTGTATGGTGAGCAAGTAATTCGAGAAGCTGGACTATATGAAGAAGAATGTGGCATCAGGATTGGAGGAAGACTCATTAACAACCTGCAATATGCAGATGATACAACTTTGCTTGCTGAAAATGAAGAAGACTTGAAGTACTGACTGATGAAGATCAAAGACCACAGCCTTCAGTATAGATTACACTGAACATAAAGAAAAATAAAGAAAAATCCTCAACATGAAGAAAAATCCTCACAATTGGACCAATAAGCAACATCATGATAAATGGAGAAAAGACTGAGGTTGTCAAAGATTTCATTTTACTTGGATCTACAATCAACGCCCATGGAAGCAGCAGTTAAGAAATCTAACGACTCATTGCACTGGGCAAATATGCTGCAAAAGTCCTCTTTAGAGTGTTAAAAACAAAGATGTTACTTTGAGGACTAAGGTGTGCCTGACCCAAGCCATGGTATTTTCAATCATCTCATATGCACATGAAAGCTGGACAATGAATAAGGAAGACCGAAGAAGAATTGACACGTTTGAACTGTGGTGTTGGTGAAGAATATTCAATATACCATGGACTGCCAGAAGAACAAACAAATCTGTCCTGGAAAGAAGTACAGCCAGAATGCTCTTTAGAAGAAGTCAGGATGATGTGACTTTGTCTCACATATTTTCGACATGTTATCAGGAGGGACCAGTCCCTGAAGAAAGACATCATGTAGGGTTCCATGGTTAAGTAGAGGATCAGCAAAAGAGAGGAAGACCTTCAGATGGATTGACACAGTGGCTACAGCAATGGGCTGGGACATAGCAATGATTGTGAGGATGGTGCAGGACCGGGCAGTGTTTCATTCTGTTGTACATAGAGTGGCTATGAGTTGGAACTGACTTGACAGCACCTAATAACAACAACTCTAGAGGAGCAAAACCAGTGAAGTACATATATAAATATATAGAGAGAGATTTACTTCAAGGAAATGGTTCACACAATTGTGGGAGCTGGCAAGTCCCAAATCTCTGGGTCAGGTGGCAGGCCGAATGCTTCTCCTGCTTCACATGGTTGCAGGGGCTAACGAACCCAGAATCTGCAGGTCAGGCATCAGGCTGCTGGCTCATGGGGTTGCAAGAACTGGTGAATCCAAATCTGCAGGTCAAGCAGCTGGCTGAAGGCTTCCCTAAGAACCGAAGGTCAGACCACGAGACGAGAGCAGGATCAAGAGAGAAAGGGAGCACACAAGCTTTGCCAGAACATCTATATATATTGAATGCAGGCCACACTCCCAAGGAAACTCCCCTTTCAAGTAATTGGCTGCTCACATCAGATCACAAAATGGAGGATGATTACCTAATATCTGCCAAGTTGACAGTGTGGGGAGCCCCACACTGGCCTGGGATGAGCAGTCAGACAGGGTGTTGGGAAGCACAGAAGTATGGCCTAGCCTAGACACTCCTAAAGCAGACAATTCACCATCTCTGCTCCCAGCATCTAGTTCTGCTCTCCCTCTCCGACTCCTGGACACCTTATCAAATACCTCCCTGCTTTTTAGATCCATAAGACTCTACTTCTCTTTTACCAAAACTTGCCCTTAAGCCAGAATCTGAAGTGGCCAGCATAATTTAATGTCACATATCCTTAAGAAGCATTTGGATTTTTAACAGGGACTAGGACATTAAGCTAAAAAATGAGTGAGTTTTCTGAGTGGAAGTCTGGGCATCAGCAAGCAAGGGGGGAAGATACTATCTTAGAGAGAGCTAACAGTGTCTGATAATCGATCTCCCTTCTGCCAGAGCTCCAAGGGAAGGAGATGCCCTGGCTCAAAACATCCCCGAGCGAGGACAGAACAGAGCCCAAGGAGATATACTATCAGGTTGGAAAATTCATTAAGTATTTACATGAAAATTCAGGTTCCCCTATTGCTCAGGGTACGGTCATATGACTCAGAGAGCACAAGTAGAGCCAGAGGTCTGATCTGAGATGCCTCTGAGGGGCTGATACAGTGACTTCTCTGCTGTAAATAAGGAGTCCTAGAACTGGAGCGTGGTTGGGGTGAGGCTGCAGGGGACGGGTGGAAGGAAGAAAGGAACAAGTGAGTACAGGTGCCATAGTGTGAGATTATTGGGGTGAGTAGGTAAAGAAGAGTTTTCTAATTTGGGGGGATTTAAGGTTTTGGGAGGTTCCTGGGTGTCACAAAAGGTGACTACTAACCTAAAAGTTGGTGGTTTGAATCCACCAAGCAGCATCAAGGAAGAAAGGTCTGGTGATCTGCATCTGTAACATTACAGCCAGGAAAACCCTATGGAGCAGTTCTACTCTGTAACACGTCACCATGAGTTGGAATTGGCTTCGTGGCAATGGTTTTTTGCTGTTGTTGTTTTAAGGTTTCAGGAACGGAAGGGGAAACATTGCATTTCTGTCCTTGACTGGGGAATTCGTAGACGGTGACACTGAGAAGTGGTTGGTGAGTCATGCCTTTCTGTCTACTCATCTGTAGGAGGATGTGAGCTCTGGGTACAGGGAACCCAATGGCCTCAAGCTAATGTCTGTTATCAGAGAGTGAGCAAAAAAAAGTCCTAGGTAGAACTTGAGGACATTAGGATGTGTCTTCCTCAGATGAGGCTTACAGGGCCAGCTGGAAAGTTAGGGGAGAGAGGAGAGTGGGATGTCAGTGAGAGCCTGAAGGTTGCAAGATCACCTGCCAGAGCCTGGAGTTTTATGTGGCCCTATCGGGCAGTTCTACTCTGTCCTATAGGGTAGCTATGAGTCATAATCGACTCAATGGCAATGGTTTTGATTTTTATTGTGCTGCAGAAGGCATAGTGTGAAATGTGAGGTGGCTTTAGGGGTGGCCTGAGATGTGAGGTGGCTTTAAGGCCTGGTGCTTGGAATACCTGAGGGTGGACACACATATCTAACATGTCTCCCACTCTCTTCAGTCCACCATCTTCAGGAGCTAGGAATGGGTGGGAGAAGCAACAATTCTCCCAATACTCAGTGATCAGGCACTGTCCACCTTTTCTCTCTCTCTCATTCCATGCCACCACATCTCCCTCCCACTGCAGCTGCTGTAGGCAGAGTCGTCATGTGGGCACTGGTAGCCCTCTTGCTCCTGGGTAAGTTCTCAACGAGGCAGCGGCGGCAAAGGACTTTGGGTGGTGAGACAGAGGGTGGGACAAGGAGGGTGCGTGTGAGTGTATTGAAAACATTTCTGTGTGAAAATTCCAAGTAATTCCTTACCTTGTTTTGGAGGCATAAGGATGAGGGGCCTTTCTCAGAGTTGGAGAAACTAGAGGCAGAGATTGAAAAATTGGTCTTAGTACCATTCAATCTTTCCTATAGTCTCAAGAGTCCCTTTCTTTCCTTTTGTCTCCAACTTTCTCTTCCTTTCTTATTTAGTGTTTTTTAAATTTATTTATTTTGTTGTTATCATTGTTGCTAGAATATATACAGCAAAACATACATCAGTTCAAAAGTTTCTACATAAACAATTCAGTGACATTGATTACGTTTTTCGAGTTGTGCAACCATTCTCACCCTCCTTCTCTAAGTTGTTCCTCCCCATTAACATAAACTCACTGCCCCCTAAGATTCCTAATTTTTGAGTTGCTTTTATCAATTTGATCCCATATAGTTCTTAAAAGAAGAGCATAATGCTCAAGGCAAACGTTCTTCACTAGTTAAGCTAAACAATTGTTTGGTTTTAAGAAGACTTGAGGGAATACGTTTGGTTTAAGGTTTAAAAATTATCTCAGGGCAGTAGTTTTGGGATTTCATCCAGCCTTCATGGTTCCAGAAAGTCTGGAGTCCATGAGAATTTGAAATTCTTTTCTGCATTCCCCCCCTCCCCCCCCGCTTTGGATCAGGATTCTTCTACTGACTCTTTGATCAAAATGTTCAATAATGGTAGCCAGGTAACATTTAGTTCTTCTGGTCTCATGGCCAAGGAGGCAATTATTTGTTTATGGGGGGAATTACCCACACATTTCATATCCTCCTCCTATTCCTGACTCTCCTTTTTCCTCTGTTTTATGTCTTGTTTTGCAGTTCCAAGCAGTGGACAAGCTGGTGAGTCTTACACATCCCTCATCCCAATTTTCCATAATCTTCCCTCCCACCCTCCTGTGTGATCTGCTTGGGTAGACACACCACTTTTTGGGTATTCTGGGATAGTGTCTCTTCCCATTCATCTTCAGTCCCTGTGGTCAGTTTGCCAGTAGAATTCGGTGCTGACTGATAGACTAGCCCAATGATTGTGGTCTTTCCTGCAAGGATGAGTTAGAAACTGGGCTGGGTCCTGGAAGCTGAGGTTTTCTAAGATTTCCCAAACTCAGAATGCATCTTTGAGTACCTCACCTTGATTTTCTTTTACATACTCCTCCTACCCCCAGCTACTCTGGAGAAGCCCATACTGTCTCTACACCCACCTTGGACTACAATCTTCAGGGGGGAGCGAGTCACCTTACGGTGTGACGGGTACCACCCTCTGCTCCTGGAACTCCGACCCATCAGCACTCTCTGGTATTTGGGTCACCTGCTCCTGCCCTCTCACAAGAAGAGCATCGAGGTGCAGACACCAGGGGTGTATCGATGCCAGACACGGGGAGCTCCCGTCAGTGACCCCATCCACCTCTCTGTATCCAATGGTGAGTGGTCTGAACACGAGGGGAGGGGTATCATGTGATCCCTCCGGTGATGCTGGGCCCTCCTGTGGGAGAGGACACTAGGTCACTCCCATCTGGGCAGGAAAAGAGGACCACACTGTGGCCTGTCTTGAGTGTCTGCAATAGGCAGGGACCTGCACACAGGGATGGATTACCCAATAAGTAAGATACGCACGGGCATAATTGTGCTTACTTACTAATTTGTGTAGTGCATGAAACTCATGTAAAATTGTGCACTACAAATGAGTAAGTAAACACAATTTTGACACACAATGTTCAGTGGCATTGGTTACATTCTTCAGTTTGTATCAACATTCTCATTATTTCTGTTCCAGTTGTCCCACTCCCATTAATTTAGTCTCACTGCCCCCTAAACTTCTCATCTGTACTTTAGAGTAACTGTTGTTCATTTGGTCTCATATGGATAATTTTAAAAGGGCACAGTTCTCAAGGATGAAATTTTTTACTTTTTGAGCTAACCTGCTATTTAGTTAAAAGGTGGTTTCAGGGGATAGTTTCTATTCCAGGTTTAAAGAGAATCTCAGGACAATAGTCTTGGGGATTCCTCCAGTCTCAATGGGTCCAGTAAGTCTGGATTCTTTGAGAATTTGAAGTTCTGTTCCATATTTTTTTCCCCTTTTTATCAGGATCCATCTATTGTGACCCTGATCAGTGTTCTGTTGCTTCTTGTTTGGAAGTTGTTAGTGAGCACAGATAAGATACTATGATGAAGGTGGTTCCTGCTTACAGAACTGAAAGTAGCATACCCTTTGTGGCTTCTACTAGCAGAATTCTTTCTCAATATAAAACACCTAAAATCACACCTGGTTTGTGTTACCTATGATGATGATGGTGATAGGGTAAATACTGGGTGCTATCAGAGGAGCCTAAGGCTGTCCTGGAGGGTCAGGGAAGTTTTGTAGAGGAGATAAGGTCTCAGCCTAGATCAGAAGAACAAGTAGACCTCAACCTGATCAGGTGAAGAGGGGTCTTCTTGGCTGAGGAAATAGCAGGTGCGAAAGCTCAGGGAAGGCTCAGTTCTCCCAATAGTTCAGTGTGACTGGAACTTAGCCTGCGAGGAGTGGAAGGTGGGAAGAGTAAAGGAGAAACCAGCAAGGGGAGAATCCTGAGATGCTGCTGGAGAGGTAAGCAGGGGCCAGATCAGGAAGGCACTGATGCCATCCTAAAAAGTTTAATTCTCACAGGCAGTGCTGTTTGAGGCTGGAACCGAGTCTCAGGCATCTTTGCCTCCCTAGTACCTAGTACCTAGCTGAGTCAACACCTCGCACCTCCCCACTCACCTTCTAATGCATCCTGCATCAGGTGCCCACCCTGCTCAGGAATAGGGGAGGGAAGGCTTGGCTTGTGGGGAGGGGAGGGAGAGTAGTATAGGCGCAGAGTACGGAGGAGAAGAATGGGAGGGCCCTTAGGACTGGGCTTTTTCTGGGAGTCAGGCGTGCCTGTGGTGTCTGTCGTAGACTGGCTGATCCTGCAGGTACCCTATACTGCGGTGTTCGAGGGCGAGTCTCTGGTCATGCGCTGTCGCGGCTGGTACGACAAGGTCGTCTACAAGCTTCACTACTACCGCGATGGCCAGGCGGTGCGCTACTTCCACTCCAGCGCCAACTACACGGTGCCACAAGCGCGCACCAGCGATAGCGGGCGCTACCACTGCTCCGGCACCATGCGCATCCCGGTGGAGAGTGCGCCCATGTTCTCCGCCAAGGTGGCCGTGACCGTGCAAGGTGGGGGAACCCTGGGGCCCGGGAGGGGGCCAAACGAGCACTAGGAAATTCTAGGGCAGGTACCAGGCAGGGAGGTCCAAGTACTGGCACGTGTCTCGGCTCCTCCGCAGTGATGGTGCGCTTGGCCAGTGCCCTGCGTGGGGTGGGCGTCCCCCTCCCCGCCCAAACGCACACCCCAGCTTCTTACTCCAGTTGGGATCCCACACAGAGGGGCAGCTCTGGCCCCAGCCGTAGCCAGAATGGCAGCAGCGGTGATAAGGGGCGCTGTGGAACTGGGGCGAGGGAATGGCTCCAGAGCGTCCCGCGAGGCACGCTCAGCGTCTCCGCTTCCAGCCAGAAGGCTGAGCTGGGTGTCAGTTGGGCTGAGACGCTGAAGTGTCTGCCCCTTTTGAACTCGGTCCCCTGCCCCACATTTCAGAAGGCTTTCTCCCACCCTCCATGCACGCACACAGCCTCCCGGACTCTCTCTTGGTCTCCGGGTCGGTGTGGAGCCCTTGAGGGAAACAGGAAGGAGAGAGGGGTCGCAGGCGGTGAACCAGCAGAACTTGGTTCCTCCCCTGCCCCATCTCACGCCTGCGCCAGTCCCACGTGCGTCCTCCGCCACTGGGCTGCCCTCTTCACAGAGCTGTTCCAGGCGCCGGTGTTGCGGATGTTAGGCCAGGTGGAGGCCCGCAGCGCGGCCTCTGGCGGGGTGGTGGTGCACTGCGAGACGCGTCTGCACCCGCAGAAGCGCGACACGCCGCTGCAGTTCGCCTTCTACAAGTACAGTCGGGTCGTGCGCCGCTTTGATTGGGGCGCCGAGTACACGGTCCCGGAGCCGGAGGTCGAGGAGCTGGAATCGTACTGGTGCGAGGCGGCTACTGCGACCCGCAGCGTCCGGAAACGCAGCCCCTGGCTACAGCTCCCCGGGCGGGGTGAGTGACAGAGGTGCCGGCGCCCAGCAGTCTGCCTCGCGCTCCGCCTCCCCTTTTCCATCTTTCCATCTTCACCTCCTTCCCCACTCGACCACGTTCCGAATCAGGGGCGGATTAGCCAACCAATAAGCAAGGTATACACCGACTTGCATTGAGCAAGGTAAGCAAAAGCTTAATTGTATTTACTTGCTAATTTGTGGTGAGCAATTTCACGTGGATTTCACCGTATCTTTGACGTGATGGAAGACAGGTGAAATTGTGCTCTGCAGATTGATGGGAAGGCACAACTGGGTTCTTGCATACTTTGCTTATTGGGTAATCCGGCCCTATTCCGAATGTCTATTCCAGCCCCTTCCTCCAACTCCATGCCTCTCCCCTACCCACGGGTCAAGAGGGATCGAGTTCAGCCACGTGCTAGTTGGTGTGTTACTACGTTCACAGGTTCTCTGGACCTGGCGTTTACCACCGTGCCCGCTCCACAGGCTGCAACCTTGGCGCCCAGTAACAAGCCACTTTCCTTCAGAAAGCCTCCGGTATTCAGATCGGTCTCATTTGTCACCTCCATCCCAAACACGACTTCATCGGGACTGCTGTTCCCCTTGGGCAGCGGCCCCCCTGCTGGACCCCCAGCCTGCGCTCCACCGACGACGTCCTTGGAACAGTCAGCTGGAGCCCTGAAACCCAATGTGGACCTTCTGCTCCGAGAAATGCAGCTGCTCAAAGGCCTTCTGAGCCGCGTGGTCCTGGAGTTAAAGGAGCCACAGGCCCTCCCAGAGCTAACAGGAACACCTGAGACCCCCACTCTCCACTTATCTATGAAGGGAGTTACACCGGAGACCACTACTGTGGAGACCTGAGGCGGGCGTCTGCTCCTCCGTCTCTAGGATCATTCATCCCTGGTGTCCCAGGTGGTGATCTTCCTAAGCCATCTCTGCTTTTCAGAAGCCAGTTCCCTCTCTGTTTGCCTCCCTTTGTTTTGCTGTGGTTTTTAAGGAAGCACCCATGTAGCGTAGTGGCTGATGATTTCAACTTCACCAGCACAGATGAGCAGTGTGTAGCCACAAGGCATTCCCTTGAATCTCTTTCTTCCTCTCACAGAACAGAGGAAGAAAGTAGAAACCTGTTATTTACTACTTCTAGGTTTATGTTTGGAAGAGAATTTAGACATCCTTAACACTTCACACAAGCCTCTCCAGTACATATTTTAGTACAGGCAATTTACTGGTACTTTCATGGAGGTCATTAAGCACTTTAGAATATTTTAGGGTCAAATTGTAATTATTCGTAGTGAATTGATTCTCTGTTAACATTAAAAAGATTTTTAGTTCTGCTCATGAGTTTATATCCTTGGTTTCCTGGGTTCTCACGTGCCAGGGTCCACCCTACTCCCACCACCATTTTTTTCTCTATCTTCCTTTTCTTTCACTCTCCCACCTAGCCCAGTAAGCCACTTCCCCTCCCTTCCCACCGACCCTCCTCTTTGCCCCCCTCACTCACCAGCCCCTACCATGGCACTATTTTTTCTTTTTTTTCCCTTCTGTTATTTCGCCTTCCCACCTAGCCCCATATGCCACCTTCTGCCTTCCCACCTGCCTGTACCATGCCACATAGAGTGCTACTAGTGTACCAGCCCCGCCCATCAGTCCCATCATGCTGCCATTTTTTTTTTCTTTCTCCCTCCCACCTAGCCCTGTATGCCACCTCATCCCCCATGAAGCCCCCAGGTCTGCCCAGCCCCCACACACCAGCTCCCACCATACTGCCCTTTCTTCTTCCTTTTTTTAATTCTTTCTCTTTTCCGTCTCCCTCTCACCTAGCCCTGTATACCACATCCCCTCTCCCCACCAGCCCCCACCATGCCACCGTGGCTAGAGTGCCCCCTGCACTTAGGCCCACCACCACACTGGCCCACATTCCCCCTCCAGCTGATGAATGATGGGAAGTGAGCCCTTACCACTCCCTGTCTCACACCCTCACCCATCTGGTGATGGGCTGTGAATGCTTCCACACTGCTGGACCAACATCAGGAGGCAGACAGCACCCGCCCAGTCTGCCATGAGTCACCTTGCCAAACCAATATACAGCAAAGCGGGCTCACCCTGCCTGCTGCTGCCCTGCCCACCCAGATAAGGTGGTAAGTGCTATCATACAAAGAGAAAAGGAAGCAACAAAGTATACTCTGCCCATCCATTCTGACATATCAAAACAAAACAAAACAGAATGAAACAAATGAACATACAGTCAATAAATAAAGAAAATAATACTTTAATGTCTCAGAGACAGCAGACAATCTCAAAACTTAAAAAAGCAGGACAAGACAGCTCCAGCAAGTGACTAAAATAATCAGATAACCTTCTTGTAGAAGAAAAGGCATTGGAAATACCTGCCATGAAATTCAAAAGGCTAATATTTAGGGCTCGCCAAAAGATTAGGAAAGAGATCAAGGAAAACACAGGAAAAAAACAAGGAAAAAATAGACAAAGTCATGGAAAGCACAGACAAAACCAATGAAAACATAGTCAAAATCAAGGAAAACAGAAAAGCAATGAAACACTTCAGGAAAATAATACAAGGACAATTAGAAATCATACAAAAACAGCAACTAGAAATCCAAAAGATATACAACAAAATTTCAGAAATGGACAACTGAATAGAAGATTTTAGGAGCAAATTTGAAACAATGGAAGACAGAACCAGCGAGACTGAAGACAAATCCATGGATGCCACTTTGTTTGAGGAAAAATCAGAGAAAAGAATGAAGAAAAAAGAAGCAAACCTAAGAATTATGTGGGACACAAGAACAAAAATTTGTGTGTGATTGGAGTTCCAGAACAGAGGGAGAAAATGGAAAGCACAGAGAAGTTTGTCAAAAATTTGCTGGCAGAAACTTCCCAAATATCATGAAAGATGAAAAGCTTACTATCCAAGAATTCAATGAACCCAGTATAGGATAGACTCTAAAGACATATCATAATCACACTTGCCAAAACCAAAGACAAAGAATCTCGAGAGCAACTTCAGAAAAAAAGTAACTTACAAAGGGGAAACAATAAGACAGCTCTGATTTCTTGTCAGAAACTATGCAGGCAAGAAGGCAATGGGATGACACATATAAAACCCTGAAAGAAAAAAACTGCTAACCAAGAATAATATATCCTGCAAAAGTCTCTCTCAAATACGATGTTAAAATTAGAACATTTTCAGATAAACAGAAATTAAGGGAATTCATAAAAACCAAACCAAATTTATAAGAAATATTAAAGGGAGTCCTTCGGTTAGAGAACCAACAACATCAGACAACAACCTGAGTCTAGGACACAGAACAGCATCAGCCAGATACCAACCTAGGTAAAGAACTCTCAATAATAAAAGCTAAAAGACTTAAAACACGGAAACAGAGACGTCAATGTGTAAATATCTACAACGTCAGAACAACAAAAGGGGGAATAAAGGTGTAGGTACAAATGAAGAGGAAGTCAAGGTGTTATCAAGTAATAAAAAGACTGGTTCAAACTTAGGAAGATAACGGCAAATTTCAAGGTAACCACAAAGAAAGTTAACAAACCTACTCATCAGAATAAAAAAGAAGAAAAACATAAAGACTCAGTAAACAAAACGTATAAAAATGAAAGAAATGAAAAGAAAATCCACAAAAAAAAGGAACTTGGCACAGGAAAGTAAGAGAAACAAAGAAAACATCAGCACCACACACACACAAAACACACATGCACAACAATATGATAGCAATAAACTCATACAATAAACACTAAACGTGCATGGCTTAAATGCAACCATAAAGAGAGAGTGGCTGAATGGATAAAAAAAAACATGACCCACCGATATGCTGTCTACAAGAGACATACTTTAGACACAAAGACATAAACATATTAAAAATCAAAGGATGGAAAAAAATATATGAAGCAAACAGTAACCAAAAAAGAGCAGGAGTGGCCATACTAATCTCAGATAAAATAGACTTTAAAACAAAATCCACCATAAAAGACAAGGAAGGACATTATATAATGATCAAAGGGACAATCCACCAAAATGACATTTAGTTGTTGTTGTTAGGTGCTGCTGAGTCAGTTCCTACTCACAGCAACCCTATGTACAACAGAAGGAAACACTTTCCAGTCCTGCATCATCCTCACAATTGTTGTTGTGCTTGAGCCTATTGTTGCAGCCACAGTGTCAGTCCATCTCATTGAGGTTCATCCTCTTTTTCCCTGACCCTCTACTTTACCAGGCATGATTTCCTTCTCCAGGGACTGGCCCCTTCTGATGACATGCCCACAGTACGTGCAGCAGATTTGCCAATCAAATACATGGAAACTGAGTAACAGCTTGCTTAAGAACAACTTGTTTAAAAACATCCTTGCTTCTAAGAAGCATTCTAGCTATACTTCTTCCAAGACAGATTTGTTCATTCTTCTAGCATTCCATGGTATATTGGATATTCTTTGCCAACATCATAATTCAAAGGTATCAATTCTTCTTCAGTCTTCCTTATTTATTGTCCAGCTTTCAGATGCTTATGAGGTGATTGAAAATATCATGGCTCTGGTGAGGTGCACTTTAGTCCTCAAAATGACGTCTTTGCTTTTCAACACTTTGAAGAGGACTTTTGCAGCAATGCAATGCATCATTTGATTTCTTGACTGCTGCTTCCGTGGACATTGATTGTAGATCCAAGTAAAATGAAATCCTTGATAACGTCAATATTTTCTCTGTTTATCATGATGTTGCTTATCGGCCTAGTTCCCAATGACAGGGCTTCAAAATACATAAAACAAACTCTAACAGCACTGAAAAGAGAAATGGATAGTTCCACAATAATAGGAGACTTCAACACACACCACTGTCAGTAAAGGACAGAAAATCTAGAAAGAAACTCAACAAAGATACAGGAGATCTGAAGTCCACAATCAACTAATATGACCTCATAGACATATATAGAACACTCCACTCAACAGCAGCAAAGTATAAATTCTTCTCCAACATATATGGAACATTCTCCAGAATAGACCACAAAGCAACTCTCAATAAAATACAAAATACTGAAATAATACAAAGCATTCTCTATAATTACAGTGCCATAAAAGCAGAAATCAGTAACAGGAAGAGCAAGGGGTAAAAAAAAAAAAAAAAAAAAAAAACATGGAAACTGAATAATACCTTGCTTAAAAACAACTGGGTAATAGAGGAAATCAAAGAGGGAATCAAAAAATTCCTAGAATCAAATGAGAATGAAAACACATCATACCAAAACCTTTGGACACCGCAATGGTAGTGCTCAGAGGTCAATTTTTAGCAATAAATGCTCGCATCATAAAAGAAGAATGGGCCAAAATCAAAACGTTAGCCCTACAACTCAAAAAAGTAGAGAACAGCAAAAGAAGCCCACAGGCACCAAAAGAAAGGAAATTATAAAGATTAGAGCAGAAATAAATGAAATAGAGAACAGAAAAACAATAGAAAGAAGCAACAAGACCAAAAGTTAGTTCTTTGAAAAAATCAACAAAATCAACAAACCATTGGCCAAACTGACAAAACAAAAACAGGAGATGAAGCAAATAACCCAAATAAGAAATGAAATGGGGGACATCACAACAGATTCAACTGAAATAAAAAGGATAGTAACAGAATACTATGAAAAACTGTGCTCCAACAAATTTGAGAACCTAGAGGAAAGGGACAAATTTCTAGAAACACACTATCTACCTAAACTAACAGAAACTGAGATAGAAAATCTGAATAAACTAATAACAAGAGAAGAGATTGAAGAGGCTTAAAAAAAACAAAAACAAAAACCTCGGAACAGCAACAACAACAACAAAAAAAACCCTGGCCTGGACGGCT